ATAAATTTTGATATACATAACACATGAACCAGTAGTAGACTCTACAAATGCATTTTAGTTCTATAACCAAATGTACTACGCCCATAGTCAGTTTATTTAACCTTATAGATTTATGGATAGATATTTACAGATTAAACACACACACACAGGGACACATACAGTGTGTGTTTGTGTGTGTATGTTTGTATATACAGGAAAAAGTAAATAAATATTATCTGTCTGTCCATCTGTCCATCTGTCCATCCATCCATCCATCCATCCATCCATCCATCCATCCATCCATCCATTGAGAATAGAAATTATGTCACCTTGTTGCATTGGGTCCTATTGCCTGCAACTGAGTTTCTCATTCATAGCACTAATTTATGGGATGATATTATTGTCCTTTCCTATTGTTTCAATAATTTAAAAGAGTCCATCTTTGTAATCTCAGGGAACATTCTTTGAATTCTGGGAGATATCTTTTTTGGTATAGATAACGGTCTGTCTTTAGATGTTAAAGTAATATAGCAAGAAGAAAAATAGCCTTATCACACACACACAAAAACCTATTGTAAATGAATCATCTCATTCCGATTTTACAGACAATCAGGTCTCAGTATAGAAAGGCAACAATTCATATTTTAGCTCCTTACATTGTATGGCCTTTCATCACCATTATAGACACTATATCCTTGTTTGTGCTTGCCAAGGGAAAACTTAAAATGCTACTTCTTCAACTTGCACACATATTTTTGTTTCCCTTCTTCTACATCTTCATTGTAGTCCAAGCCAACCTGATGTTTGCTGGGAAGCTAAATTCACACTCTCTCTAATTCATAAGACATATTTATTCAATAAGAAGGTAGCAACATTGTGATACAACAGAGAGGCAGGCAGATAGCAAATTTATGAGAAAGCAGAAACCAACAGATGCTTATTATCTTAAGGATAAAAAAGGTAGAGACAGTAAAAAAAATAAAAATAAAATGATTTAAACCAGCAGAATGACCACTATGGCAAGACTTTGAGTTCCCAAGCAAATGTGGATTATTCATAACTCCACTCCCAGCTGGTGAATTAACCTTCATGGTGCAAAGGGAAGAAAGCCAAATATGAAGTCCACCAAAAAAGCTGCAGAGAAGTGGCAATTGAGAGATGCTCTATGAACCACATTTTGTTTCAGAAAATACCCAATACAGCAGAATATGCCTAATATAGTTTATTATAACATTACAGAAATAATAAAGGGAAAAAATCTGGGTTGGAAAAATGCTTGAAATGGCATGCCATTTCAAATGATATTACTGAAATACACTAAGGGGAGATTGAAGATTTAAGATGCCATAATAGACTCACTATTCTTCTTCAGGAAAAAAAATAATACCGTACATACATTAACAAATGTGCTGTAACTAAGTTCACTATTGTTAAATCCTACTTAAACTATCTATTTTAAAATACCCATCTTGTATTATTTTAAATATTTTAGCTCCAGGATGTGATTGCTTTGTAAACTCTGAAATCAATGCTATTTTACTTTTCTCTGATCTCATTTAGTTTTAGGATTATATTTGCTCTTTCATCTGTTTATTTTACATGTTTTTACACAGTTAAAATTACAGTAAGTCATTTTCCTTTTGTTTTATAATATGATTTTATTTTGCTTAAAAATTAATTAACCTCTCCCTCCAACCGAGATAACATGAGAGAATGAATCTAGAAATAAATGTGCAACCTAGAACAATAATTAGTTTATTTTCAGTATCAGAACGCTTCTTCCCATATATGGAAGCATTCCCTAACAAGAGGGACATGAAAGTGAATGAGTAAAGAACAAATTGAATAATAGGTGAAATCAATGGTACAGCTGGCTATGGCTAGGTAAATACAAAATATTTAGCCATGAACTGTGCAAATACAGGAAAGAAGGAACATGTCATACACAACATTAGCCTGGAACATCTAAACTCTAAAGTATTTCAGAAAAGATGAATGCTGTACAAGGATTAATATATAAGTAACAGCAGGGCTATTTGTGAATGTGAAACTCAGTAGCTGATTATATTATGTAATAATAAAAATATTAGTAGTGTTTTATATATAAACGGGTCACTTTATATAGAGAACTTAGATGATTAATTATTTCTAAAATTATTAATTGGTTTATTTTAAACTTATAGTATATCTACACAATATTTAGAAAACTTGAAATAATAGTTAGAATGCTTGAACTATAATTCAGTGCTTCTTTAATTAGCAGGAAAGATATTTTCATTCAGTAATAACAAATGCTAAAGCAATAATTTAGGTTATTCTACTGATCAATCAGCTAGGACATTACATTAATGACTCTACTAATTAAACTAATTTATGCTAGGAGTTGTGGTTCTGACTATTGTCCCATCCTGAAGTAAAAAAAAATGTCTCCACTGAAATAAAAATATATTCATATTGTATTATATATTATAACTTTATATTGGGGGGGGGAGACTTGCACTCATCAGCTTGTCAACCCATGTGGGGGGGAAGCCCTCAATTCTTTGAGGCAATAAATCAGAAACCTTAAGTACAGATAGTCCTTGACTTACAACCATTTGGTGACAGTTCAAACTTAAAATGGCACTGAAGAAAAGTGACCTAGACCATTTTTCCACACTTACAATAATTACAGCATTCCCCACGGTCACACAATCAAAATTTGGATGCTTGGCAACTGCCATGTATTTACAATGGTTGTGTCAACTTGTAAAGCATTCCTAGTCTGCTCTCGAGTTGCCAGAGAAAGGAAGCTCATGAATTAATTAGGACATCCATCGGAACCCTGACAGGTTGCAGTGTCCTGGGGTCACATGATCTCTTTTACAACCTTCTGACAAGCAAGCTCAATGGGGAACCCAGATTAACTTAACAACCGTGTTACTAACTAAACAACTGCAGTGATTCATTCAACAACTGTAGCAGGAGAGGGCATAAGATTGGGCACAACTGCCTTGCTTAACAACAGAAATTTTGGGTTCAATTTTGGTCGTAAATTGAGGACTATCTTACAATAAAATTTATCATATCCCTGTTTCTGTTAAGCACATCAAGTAATATTGTGCTTTATTTGCTTCATATTAATTCTATAACTCTGTGATGGATCCATTTTTTTTCTGTTTAATTTTACCCCAATATTGCACACCTCAATTACTGCTCGGATGGGTTGTTGAACTATTGCACAGCAGATTCTGAAAACTACAACATTTGAAGGAATTAAGAAAGCAAAGTCCGACTAAGAAGGAATCATTTTGGTGATGTTGGCCACAGTCAAAATATGTACAACATTTAAACATTTTATTTAACAGTTATTTTTTTAAAGTATCTTTGTTCTTTTTCCTGTTTAAGATGTGATGTAACTAAACATATGACTCCTGAATTTTCCCATATAAAATTCTGACACTTTTAAAAACCATTTCACTTTCTATGAGTGCACATTTTCATTTTGCTTTACTTTAATAATAAAATTCTACAGATTTAACAGTAATTCTGAGTTCAGTTGAATTAAGCAGATATACAACTGTCATTTTTAAATGCATTTAGTAGGAGACACAACATGTAATAAATACATAATTTATGTTGGTAACTTTTCCACTTCAATTGCAAATGCTATCAAGGGGCAAATGGAGACATTCACCAATATTTATTGGAACTTGTATTTCTTTGTGGTTTTATTTTGCAGATATCCAACACCATGTGAGAAAAGTTGCTTTTATAGGTAGTTTAAAATTCAAGTTGGTTAGGAGATTCTGCAAAGTACAGTTTGCAGAAGCGAAGTACTCAAGGTGACTTATTCTCATATAAAGCTGCAGCTATTCTGAAGTTTGAACAGATATAAAGGCTCAGCTTTATATTACATCAGAAAACAATACCTTTCCCTGGAGTTTATGCTTTAGAAAACCTAAATTATAATTTACCATTTTTTAAAGAAAAAAATAATGGGGTGGGAAACTTAGGGTGGGAGGAAAGCCCTGCTTGATATACAATTAGTACTCCCTGGCGGAACTCAGATTGTTTGAATTCAAGCTAATTCCCATCGAAGCCTAAATAGATTTTCTTTTTAATCCTTTCACATCTGGACAGGCTCTTCTGTATCTGAATCAGGCTATTTCAAATATTTTGATGTGTTTCAAGCTCAGACAAACTGGCAAAATAGTTGTGGCAGCCTTTAAATAAGGTATTTTTTTCTGTTCATGCAAATTTGTTCATATTTAATAGAATATAATAAATTTTAAAAAACTGGTTAGCAAACAAGTAAAAAGTTATTGCGGGCAATGAAATGTATTCTATCCAACAAAAGAACTCTGCTTAATAATGCTGCAATTGTAGGTAGTCCTTGACTTACGACCACAACTTAAACCCAAAATTTCTGTGGTTAAGTGAGACATCGGTTAAATGAGTGTTGCACCATTTTACGACCTTTCTTGCTTCAGCTGTTAAGTGAATCGCTGTAGTTGTTAATTTAGTAATCTGCTTGTTAAATGAATCTGGCTTCCCCAATGACTTTATCAGAAGGTCGTAAAAAGGGATCACATGATCTTGGGACACTGCAACGGTCATAAATGCGAAGCATCTGAATTTTGCTCACATGATCGTGCAAAGGTTGTGACTGTGAAAAATGCTCATGAGTCACTTTTTTTCCATGCAGCTGTAACTTTGAATGATCTGTTGTAAGTCGAGGACTAGCTGTATACAAATAAGTACTGACCATAGCAGGATCACTATGTTTTAAAGTATAGCACAGCATAAACTGCACTGATCCAAATCTCTCTTAAATATGTGGTATTTGCAGGGCAAATAAACCTTAGTATTGAATGCAATTTTGTTCTTTCCATAGAGAATGCCAGTTTCTGCATGTCTGAACATAAGGAAGTTTTCCTCCTTTTTTAATGAGTGGTATATTTGTTTGCACCCCAACACCAACCCCCACTTCCATTCCTAAGTCTGAAAGAAGGAGGAAAAATTGTTTTCATTAAATATACCTTGATAAGGAGCACTAAATCCACGATATCGGTGATTGCTGTCTGTTACAAAATGAAGCCTTAGCCAGTTTTTGTTGCTGATAACTGGAGGTGGGATATTCATTCCAGATAACCTGAATGAGAAAAAGACAAATAAGGCAAACATATTTAACAGGATCAGAAATCCCAAGTTAGTCACCAAGGCCACTAACTCTTTCAAAAGGCTTGTACTCAGAAAAGACTTGTACTCAGAAAAGAAAAGAAAAAAAACAGGAAACTATTGTGCATTATTTTGTATAATTTTGCTCTGTCTAATTTGGAATGGTGATTAAGAATGATAAAACTTTTCTATTCTTTAGGAAATAAGTGTTAAATACAGGACTTATTGCTAAAGAATTGTAAATTTACTCCCAATATTGAGATAAAGCTTTATAAAATTATAATGTGTCATCTTCATCATATTCATTATCCTAGCTCAGAACTTTCAGAATTCATTGGGACACAGAAATAGAGGGACTTTACATAGTAGAGATATGTAATTTGCATTTAAAAGACCGGATAAATTAAAAGTGCATGCATGGATTTGTTTGAGTCTGACTTGAAGGGGGAAAAAAGTCTATTAATAGCTACAAAACATGATGACTATTTAAATATTAGATTTATTTATTAGATTTTTATCCAGATGCTCAAGGCAATATACATAATGCTCCAATTTTGTCTTCACAGAAACAAACCTCCAATAGAAGAGAAAATTTGTAGCTCAGAGTTGGACTGTGGAGTCCTTGGTGTTCTCTGAACTTGATTGTTTGCTTGAAAAGGTAACATCCAGTTAACATTACAACTGATTATGGTTCCAGCTTGGATAATGGAATGTCTAAAAGAAAACAACCAAGCTTACAGAGCACCAGGAACTCCACCAAAAAAAAACCAAAATAAAAACAAGAGACTGAACTAAAATTACTCCCTGAGTTTTCAGGTCCATGGATGGGTTTGAACTTGGTTATATCAGTACACCCCAATGTCTCTCTATATGATTTCCCTCAGATCAGTACCGAGTTGACTATCAAGATCAGTTGCAAGGGACAATAGCAAAAAATAGCACAACAGCCACCATGACACAGCAGTTAGAAAGTTGGACCTGGAGTGTAAGAATTTGAAGTATCTCTAGGGATTCTCAGTTATCCGGGTCATGGTTGTCCCAATGGTGTTTTTTTCAAGGGGCAACTGGACTTTCTGGTTTTTCTTTGAAGATGTTTTCGCTTCTCATCCAAGAAGCTTCTTAATCTCCAGGAATAGATTTCCAGACGGGGGAAAAATACAGACTACAGGAACCACTGGCATTACTCAGGTGACCCTGAGGACACAGATAAACCTCCAAGTGCTTCAAGGACTCTCTAAAAGGATGCAAATGACCAGCTGTCTGCAAGGAGTATAGATACTTCTATTCCCCACCATCCTGTCAGAGCTGAAGAAGCTTCTTGGATGAGTAGTGAAATGACTTCAAAGAAAAACCAGAAAGTCCAGTTGCCTCTTGAAAAAAGTACATTTGATTCAAGTTCAAATCTATTCTCTGCCATGAAAAAACTTTCT